CTCTTCAATATTTTTTCCCTGATGTTCAGTTCCTTATTTACTGGACACTATTCTTAACCATACTCTGAAAAGAAAATTATTTCTTCATAGGCTTTTCTGTGGCACATGTCAGTCTAGTATCTGCATGCCTCAAAAACATTAATAAAATTAATTTAATAGTGTCCATGCAAGAAAAGGGAATATTGCTAAATTCTGTTTTCTATATACAATAATCTTAATTTCTTTGCGTATCAGTTCCCTATATGTGTATATATATATACAGTGGATTGAGGTGCTAAGACATTAAGATAAAAAGTTCCATTCATTTTGCTTTCCCAAAGTGAGAAATCTAGTACCATATTTTTCAGACTACTTAGCAATGCAAAGCATTTTATGTGCCAGAAGCAGGCACATTCCCATTGACTTCAATTACAGCTGTGAATGCTCTGCACGTGGACAAATGAGGCCCCAGGATCTGAAGTCAAGGACCTAGAAAATGATTAATTTACAACTGGGGACCAGCTGTGAAAAGTTTGCTGTACTTATCACTGCACAGGAACTCTGTGACAGAGGCAGGGATAGACTATAGTTATCCAGGACAGTGTTCAATTGCCTTGACTATGATATTAGTCTTTCTCCTCCTTCCATCTCCTCATTCACAGTGTACTTTCTAGCTTCTGTAACAAGTTAAGGACTCCAGTGGTGTTCTGTACTAAATATCTCCAATTCCTCCCCATAATATCTTTACCTTGTGCACTGAATGTGGCAGTGATCCTGTAGGAAAGTAGCATGTGATGATGTAATAAAAGATTTTATCATAATTTATACGCCGACAGTGGCAGGGGTGCACGTGCACACCCTGAGGGTGCAGGTACACCCACTGACTGGCCGTGCTCACCACTTCGGCGACGGGCGGGGGGGCAGGCGGGAGTGCTGGTGCCCCCCCCCGCAAGCGCTGGACCAGGAGTGGGATGCCCATCGGTGAGAGAGGCTACGAGGGGGACCTCCCCCAGTCAGAGAGATTGCCCGCGCGGGGGGGCATGTGCCCCCCCTTACTAAGGTTGCACGAGTTGCCCTGTACACAGAAAGGGGAAGAGTTAAGGAGACACAGGCAACCTTAATTCTGAATAACATTCCTTTTGATGTAGGGGTTTTTGTTTTGTTTTGGTTTTTTGCAGAATTTGCAATTTTTATTTATCTGAAAAATTCTACCCTGTGGCATCATACTGAAATATATGGACCATCAGAAGGCAGGTTTAAGCTAGATGACAGGTTTATGGCTGGTCTGTGAGCTGGATCAGACCCACATACTGGTCTTGTGTATCAGAGCCAGTGTACAAGGCTGGTCCAGTGTGGGCAGCTCATGCAGCACACACCCTGGATCAGACCTGTGTCCAGTGTGCACTGGCACTGGTCCGGGGCTCATGTGTGGAGCTGGCACAGGGGTGCTCTGCAGGAGGTGCTTGATTCAGACAAGCCCTGTGCACCAGCTTCAGGGTGTGGGGCCAGTCTGTGGACCCGATTTGGAGTGGTTCCAAAGCAAGCAAGCGGGGCTGGTCCAGCAGGGTGCTGCATGGCAGACTGGCTCCACATGTTTCATACACTGAATGGGCCAGGGCCACTCTGTGCCACATGCAGTATGAGGGGTCAGTCTGGGACCCATAGGCTGGATTTTAGGGCTCCACAGGCTGTAAAGGGCCTGACAGTCCTGAATGAACAGACTCATCAACAGTAGCAGGTTGGAGCAGTGAGGTGAGACTTTGAAAATAGGATAGATGCTCCTAATAGCTGAGGAATGATGAGACCATGGGGGTCTTGTTTCCATTTTAGGCTCTGGAGGGGAGTGTGCTGCGTAGTCTTCAGACTGCTCCCTCCTAACTGTCTTATTCCTCTCTGCATCTCTGCCTCTTTGGTTCCCTCCTGTTACACACTTCGGGACAGTCCAGCTATTCGCTTCTCATCCCAGTTTGTCTCCTTGCCCAGTCAGTGTTAGCCTCCCCTTCTAGTTCCTTTTCCAGTCTGACTCCTAGCTGATGACCTGGTGGTTCAGAGTCCACCAGACTCCCATTTCCCTCCTTGACTTCCAGTCCTTGTCTCTGCCCTGGACTTTTCATTTTAATTTCTTGCTCCCCCACCAGGTACCAGTCTCAGCCTTTCCCAAGTTATTTGTCCCGGTATACATCACTGTTCCCTGTGTTGGCTGCTGCCCCTCTGAAACCTTTATCATCCATGTTGCCTGGGCCCTTCCAGGGGAGATGGTGAGAAAGCAGGAGAGTCAGGCTCTGGTGCCTGGCTCTGAACAGAACTGCTTTGGCAGGGAGTGTCCTGCTGCACCCTGGAGTGAAGCATGGTCAGTGCATGTGGACTAGATAGTCTCCTTGCCCAGGTAAACGTAACTGCTAACATTTTAGTAGCGATGGAGTGAGCTTGTAGCTGTCATGGTTCAGGAATATGCAAGAGGCAAGGATTTTTGTGGGTGATATCTTCTGTTGGACCAGCTGCATGGTGGGGTTTTTCTTGGCACAATGCCTGAGATGACTCTAGTTGCAGTATAGCTGATTCCACTTCTTCTTCTTATGTTAGATGGCTATCACTAGTCTTTTTTTGGAAGTGGGTTTGGTTCTTCTGCATTAATACCAAGGTATGTCTCCAGGCTAGTATCTCTAAGTTTAGTACCATAAGTACGTATGTCCTGTTTTAAGTTGAACTCTTTTGGAGTGAGTTAAGCGAAGAGGATGGTTTTTCCGTTTTTCTGATATTTCCTGCGTAGGTGTATACTGTATTTGGGGTTGTGCGCTAGAGGGCTGATTTGCTGATCAGTCCCCTGGGTATGTTATGTTTCTTCTACAGGCTAAGGAGGAAGGTGTCGTTTTGTAGTCTGGCTTCTTTTTTTTCAGGTTGTGGATCCCCTTGTAAGTGGCAGATTCTGATACCCTCCGTGTTTGACAGTGTTGGAGCGATGTAGCTGCGATGTTCCAGGAAACGTGCGAGAAGCAAGGATTTTTGTGGGTGATCTCATCTATTAGACCAATTACATGGCTTGTCCCCTGGATTGTAGGCCTGCTATCTGTGACATGGCTTGTATTGTGCTGCTTTATGCAGTTGGCCCAGTAAAAGATATCACCCACAAAAAATCCTTGTCCCTGCTCAATTTTTAGACATTTCTACTGAGGCTGCGCACTCTGAGATTTATCAGAAGCTTGTAAGCTGGGCATTTTGAAACCTGTGAAAATCTACATTGATGACATAAAACCTTCCTTATGTCTCCCCCCCCCGGCTCCCAGTTTCTCCCACTTTGTCAAATTTCCAGTCCCGGTTCCAAAACACAGAGGTTGTAGAATGTCTCGAAGAAAAGGCTGCTAATACGGACAAAATAAATTATTATCTCCTAACTTAATTCTGAGACATGGCATTGGCTGACCTCTTCTGGCTGGCATTTGCCAGAGGCAAACACCTGGCATGAGAAATTGCAAGCCACTGAAGATGAATCATGGAAAGCGTCAGATGAGCTAAATGGATGGTGCTACCAGCAGTGTATGTGCACGTGGGTGGATATTTGTGTACTCATATTTGTACATGTCTATGTAGAAGGAGAGCTAATGTATAGTACGTCATATAATGAAAGTTGCACATTTGAGTATAATACATATTAGATATCTAGCTTGATATAATAAAGTTATATGCACTTTAATCTACTGCATTCCTTACCTGTGTATGATCATTTGCTTCAGGGCCTTAGCTACCTTCCAGCTGGGCAAGGAGGTCCTACACCTTCCTCCAAAGCATTATTAGCTATCACTGGGTACAGGATACTGGACTCCATAGACCACACATCTGATTCAGCGTGGCAATTACTGTGTTCCTCTTGGAGTAGTGCCCAGAGATAACTAAAAGGATCAGAACACCATGGTCAGGCCCTGTACAAGCATGCAGTAAGAGGCCAACCCTGCCCCGCAGAGCCTGCAGTCTTAATACGTTTATCACTTACATTCTTTTTCCTTTTAAAATATCTATGTCTGGGACTTCAAAGTAGATAACAGTACTCTGACTTTTTTTTTTTGCATTTAGTTGTTGTCAGGGACCCTTACAGACTAATTATAATGTTTTACAGTCAGTTTGGTTGCCTTCTATACCAGAACATGCAGGAAGTGCTCAAGGCCTCACATTAAAGGGAAAAAAAAAGATGTTTAGAAACAAAACTGTAATAAATTATTCCAGTCTACTTAGCAGGGTTTATTATCTGTAAATCCATCATTTCAATAATCCACGCTACATTATTTTAACAAATTGCTTTGTATTGCTCTGAGGGTAAGGGTAAAGTTATTTAATGATGTTTAGAAATGGCACATTTCAACATTTATGCAAAATGTCAGTAATGCTGCTTTGTAAATGGGATTTAATTATGGTATGCAAAACCAGAGTATCCTTTAATCATACATTAGTGGTTCTTTCCACTTCCCCAGCTGGGTCCTGTCCCGTCCTGCAGCATTTCTAGCAGCTGTAATATGTATTTCACTGTGGAGTGTAATAAAGAAATGTAAACCTGAGCATTAGGACAGTTAGATAATAAATGTTCATGACAGTAATTGCAACTTGCTCTTACAGAATTGTCAAACGCATATTAACTGCTCTCTTACTATGTAAAATTTGTCTATTTTGATCTTGCATCTTGTGTTTGTTTTCTGGGGCTTCTGAGCACTTGGTAAGAAGGTTTAGAACGATCTGTGGTCTGGAGACAAAGGAGCAAAGTTAATCGTGGAGCTGAAACAGTCGTCCAAAACCCAAATCACAGCACTGCATACCACAATAGTTCTTTAAGAAAACCAATATGAAATCTCATGCGTTATAAAATAGCTTGGAGATATAGAATTTGCTTTTTCTGTTTTAGTAGTAGGCTTGTCGCAATAGACAAATTATGTAAAAAGCAAACGACTCCAGTAGTATCAGATTTAGCCTGCCACACAGCGTTTGTGTATTCCAGGTGTTGACGTGTCTTGTTGGTTTTTTTTTTTTTTTTTCAGATGCAGTTTCCACATCTGCTTATTCATCCCCAGCTAAAAGTTTGGGAGACCCAGGAATAACGCCACTATCCCCATCACATATTGTGGTAAGAAATATAATGTACAACATGTTGACTATATATTGACATTATTTTCTCCTGCTTGTTCTACCTGTAAGGAATAACATTTCAGGTTGTAATGGACTGGCTGCTACAAAAGGTGTCTTTTCCTGCTCTCTGAGTTTCATTTCTTCTGTAAATTAAAAATCTGTTCCCTTTGGAGCCTATGGCAAAGCTTCCGTTGATATGTTTGCATTCTGAGCTCATAGAAAGGTGCTTTCAACTCTTCTATTATAGAAGTCAGGATTTTAGCACATGATAACTGGTAGATTGGAGGGTCAGGAAGGTGGAGTCTGTCCTCCTCTTTCTCACTGACTTGCTGTCTGATCTTCAGTGTGATCCCTAAAATCCCAGTCCTTTATTAGAGTAGAAAGCTTCCCTGAAAAGTAGCATTTCATATACTTCCTCTGCATATTCAGGTCATGTCTGCTTTAACATAGGATAAAAATATCCTTCCATGCACAGAGAACAAAAACAGTTGAAGTTTCCTCGGGGGAACGTTCATTTTTGTGAATTTCTAGAAACAAAAAAATGTTCCATCAAAGATGGATGTAACTCTCACACTCGTCCCATTCATTTTGTCAACATACTCCGCTGCTGTGTACCTAAGTGTTGTGTATCTGTAGCGCACGCTGCATTTCTCATGATAGAAAAACCTGGTGCTCAGAACACGACTGCCATTGCAAGAACCCTTTTCGTGGCTTCCCCTGGCTTTTCTCAAGGTCAGAACTGCTCAACCTCCCACTCCGAGGCCTTTCACGTTTCTGCCTTCTTTCCTTTGAATTCTTCTTCATTTCCCACCGTTTTCACTTGCCCCAAGTCTCCTACAAGTTCCCTTTGCCTCTCTGTTCTTCATACCTTCTTCCACACGGTTTCTTATGTTCGGTTCACGGTATCTCTCTAGGTGCACGCGCACCTCTTTTCTTTGATCACATTCATGGGAAATGGGTGGCAGTGGCTGAGGCACCCCCTCCCCGGTGGCAAGGTCCCCCAGATCTCATTGCAGTCCTATCTCTACCTTGTCATCCTAACGGATCCCTCCACCATTCACTGTCGTGACATCTAATGCAGTAAATGGCGTGCGGGCAGAAAATTGCCAGTGACTACTGCCAGCTCTGGGAGACAGAGTTAGGGTTGTATGTTTAGCTCTTTATTTCCTGGCTTTTAGAGGTTTGCATTTTGCTGAATTTAATGTGCTGGGAGTGAATGAAAAACCAATCGGCCCCTTTAACTCTGTTTAACTATTTTTTTTATTAGCGAATTATACATAAAGCCATAATTCATTGAGCCGGTTGCCTTACTTCATGCAGTCGGCTCTGCACATCAGGAAATGTTGGTAAATTGAGAGGCTTACAGTACTCAAATGGGTAATGAATACATGAACGCTGCATATGCGGCAACGTGTTTACTTTGACACTGTCAATGCAAGCTGTTTTGGAGTGCGAGGGAAGAAAATACATGGACAAAAAGGGGTCAGTTTGCAAAAATCATTTTAGGTGACCAATTTGAGATGCCTCAGAGGGGCCTGGTGTTCAGAGACTGGGTGTGGAGAACTTTTTGACAGCCAGCCCCCTTCAAGGAGTCTGCAGTTGTACACCCAAAGCTGCTAGTTACTTTTAAAAATTCAGGACAAGAACTTCTGTGGCCGGTCACCTGCCAGGTTTTTTCATCTGAACAAAATACCCAAATGTCTCTTTCAGATTTTATAAAACCTTGGCCTATGTCTGTAAAGCATTGTGATATCCCTGCAGGAAGGCACTCAGAAGTGCAAAGTTTGTATGTGTATTATGCAGGCATTATTTGCAGCTGGGTAGTTAAGGCTGAGTGAAGTTTTGTACTTAACAGTGTCTTACCATGTACATGGTGCGTGTCCCAATTCTTGGATAAATTGTGAAGCCCTTTGGCGAGCAGTGATGCCACAAAGTGAGTAAAATAGTATCACGACCCTCACTTGCACTCTGTTCACCATTACATCTGTGCTGGAATTGACTGAATCATCCCAACCCCTAAACAGCTTCAAATACTAGCTGCCTTTTAAAAATTAAAACCCCCCAAAAAACTGCCATGAAAATATTTCTTTCCTTTCCCAGCCAAAAGCCTGGGACCCAAGGCCTAGAATAGGTAAGATTCAGTCTCATGCCAGTAAAAAGTTAAAGTCCTGCTATTTCATAATTTCACAGAGCTGGGAATGAGTGTTGTGTTGTGTATTCTTGTAAGAAAAGTGACTCCAGATTTTCAGGTCGGGTCCTCAGCGCTTGCACCTTTCTACGTTTAACGTTGTTTTAAAAGGTTTTTGAGTGAGTTGTTAAACGTTCTCTCTCCTCTGAGTCCTGTCAGATTGTAACTTGAATTAGTACCTATACAGTTTGAGGAAAATGCTAGCGCATTTCTAAACTGCATTATTTCTAAAATGCATTAAGATTTGGAGTGAGGTATGTAATAAAAGCTTTGTCATCATCTCTGGGGGCCAACCAGTTGTCTTGGTGTGCTGTGACCAGTAGGGTCCCTCAAGGCTCTGTCCTTGGGCCTATACTATTTAACATCTTCATCAATGATGTGGATATTGGTGTCAGAAGTGGACTGGCCAAGTTTGCCAATGACACCAAACTCTGGGGTAAAGCATCCACACCTGAGGACAGGAGATTGATCCAGGCAGACCTTGACAGGCTCTTGAAATGTGTGGACGAGAACCTGATGGTGTTCAACACTGAAAAATGCAAGGTTCTCCACCTTGGGAGGAAAAACCTGCAGCATGCTTATAGGCTTGGCAGTGCTATGCTGGTTAGCACTACAGATGAAAGGGACTTGGGGGTCATGGCTGACCACAAGATGAACATGAGCCTTCAGTGTGATGCTGCGGCTAGTAAAGCGAGCAAAATGCTGGCTTGCATCCATAGATACTTCTCAAGCAATCCAGGGACGTCATTCTCCCGCTGTACTCGGCTTTGGTGAGGCCGCATGTAGAGTACGGCATCCAGTTTTGGGCTCCACAATTCAAAAAGGATGTGGAGAAGCTCGAGAGGGTGCAGAGGAGAGCCATGTGCATGATCAGAGGTCAGGAAAACAGACCTTATGGTGAGAGGCTGAGAGGAATGGGGCTTTTCAGCCTGGAAAAGCGCAGGCTCAGGGGTGATCTGGTGGCCACCTATAAATTTACTAGGGTGACCACCAGTATCTGGGGGAACATTTGTTCACCAGAGCACCCCAAGGGATGACAAGATTGAACGGTCACAAACTCCGCTGCAACCAATTCAGGCTGGACATAAGAAAGAACTTCGCTACCCGAGCCCTCAAGGTTTGGAATAGACTGCCGCCGGAGGCGGTTCAAGCACCCACTTTGAACGCCTTCAAGACACATTTGGATGCTTATCTTGCTGGGATCCTATGATTCCTGCTGACTTCCTGCCCCTGGGGCAGGGGGCTGGACTCGATGATCCTCCAGGATCCCTTCCAGCCCTAATGTCTATGAAATCTATGAAATTTACCCCTAGGTTTTGAATGGTGTTATCAATTATGCAAGCATAAGAAGACAAGAAGGGCCATACTGGGTCAGACAAATGGTCCACCTAGCCCAGTATTCGGTCTCCAAGAGTGGCAGAAGTGGATGCTGCAGAGGGAAAGCACTGAACTGGATATCTCTTGAGTGATCAATCACCTATTCAGTACTCTCCCTAGTATCCACCATTTATTTAGCCAGAGGAAACATCTCCAAACATTCAGTTAAATAGCCATTAATAAATTTATCATCTGTGAATGTATTCAGTCCCTTTTTGAACCTGGCTCTGCTGTCTGCCTCCACTACATCCTGTGGCAATAAATTCTACAAGGTGAACTATGCGTTGCGTGAAAAAAGTACTTTCTCTTGTTAGTTTTAAATCTGTCATCTATTAATTTCAGCAGGGGCGGTGGGGTGCTAATTCTGTGAGACATGTTGAACAACAGCTCCTGGTTCACTTGGTCCACACCCTTCACAATTTTATAGCATATCCCCCCTTAGCCTTCTTTCCAAACTGAAGAGTCCTAGTCTTTAATTTCCCTTAGTAGGCAACTGGTCCAGGCCCCTGAATATTTTGCAGCTTGCCATTTGTTGCCCACACACACACAAATAATGTTTTCAGATATTACATTTATAAAGGATCAGTCACTAGCCATGCAGATCTCATTTGTTGCAGGAAATAAATATGAGAGCAATTCCCCTTCATTTGGATGTGTGTACAGGATACCAGAACTGAACATTAATTTGCCTGTTCATTGGATTTCCATGTCCATTAACCAAAAGAAGCGATAGATAGTCGAGAGTGAGCAGTTTCAATCAGGAGCATGATTCTGGGGAGGTATGATTTTCTGTAGGAGATGGCCGAATGCCATACTGCAGCAGTACCAAGCCACTGAAAGAGAAGGGAAATTCTCGTTCCTTCTCTGAACAGTGACTCAAAATCTGTTCTGCTCCTATTATCTTAACAGAAGGACCCTGATGCGAATGAGGTTGAGGAGCAATCATTTCTTGTTGTTGTGGCTATTGATTTTGGCACGACATCCAGTGGCTACGCCTACAGCTTCACCAAGGAGCCAGAATGCATTCATGTAATGAGGTAAGGGCTGCATTGCAGCATTTAGCTGAGGGACACTGTATATATAATCTGCAGTTGCTACACTTGATTTCAGCATGGGTTTGCAGTGGCTGGGTTTGTATGCAGCTGATGCAGTCGAAACCCCCTTTCTACCGTAAATTTGTCTTTCGCATTGTATCATATCTGAGTTGCTTTGATAATAAACATACGCGAGCTTTGCTGTGTGTTATTGCTGTTTGTGAAATACTGCAGATTAAAGGAGGAATCTGTTCAGCGAGTATTCAGACACATGCAGAGAGCAGTGGTAATTACAGAGGCCCAGACTTTCATAGCTACAGTAATGCAAGAGGGAATACACAATTATAATAGACTTAATATGAGAATAATGGGGAAAAGAGATGGAAGAATAATGGTGATAACTAATAGGGATGTCCTCAAATCCCCAATGTGTCCCTCATATCCAAAGCAGGTGTTTTCCTGTACAATGTCAGGGATTTCCCAGTACCATGCAAGCCTGTGGTAATCCTGCGAAGCTAGCAGTTCATCTGGAACAGGACAAAGGAGTTAGACCTTTGCCATCTAATGCTGCATTCCTAAACTGAGTAATTTAGGCATCTAAAATGGTCAGTAATTTAAATTATACCCTCATTCAGTTGTGCACACAACATTTTTGTTCGGGTTTGTTTGTGCTGAGAAACTGATGATTCAAAACCAGAGAGCAGTGTTTGATTCTCTGTTGAAGCTTTTTACATTTGAATTTGCTAAAACCCCAGGTACCATAATGCTGGGGTGGGGTAGTGAAGCAAGCAGAGTCCAGAAATATGAAAATGCAGGTTGAACGCGCAGCCTTAGTTCTGTCCCTGCCACGTGTGCAATGCCATGCGGTTCTTAGTTATGCAGGCGCATAGTATTTCTTAACCAAGAGAGTGCAATATAATATTTCATGTTAAATTTGATACATCTAAATCTAATGATGGTACTAGAAGTATAAAGATTATGCTGATGGCTATGCAAAAGGAAAAGTGCACAGAAAAAGTGATTTTTTTTTTCTTTATTATTTCCTATAACCCAAAATTGACTTAATCTTAACTAAGACTACCAGGGAAAAATTAACTGCATTCTTGGGTAGACATTAAACTATGGGAAATTTCAACCATAGAAATGAATGCATTGGGAAGTAAAGTGCATGTGAAAAGCTTAACTTATAGGAGTAGCTCTTAGCACAATTGCTGTGATAGCATTAGGCAACTCTCTATTCATCCTTCTGTGTGGTTGAGAATTAGAAAAGAAAAGCCCAACTTGCCATTAGCCAAATGTGACGTACTGTAATTCTTCAAAGCAAAGAAACCAGCTGAATATAACTATTCAGATATCTACAGACAATGGCAGTTGCGCTGTCAACTTGTGTGGTCATCTTGTATAAAACTGCAAGGGATTTCAGAGTGGTCTGACACAAAGGGGTAACACTGGATAAAATATAAAGGGAAGGATATTGTAGAAGATTGCAATCAGCCAAATTACAGTTACAAAAGTAGTATTGGAAAGTATATTGTGGGGACTTTGTGAGTTTAATAGCCCTGCTCCAAGTCTTTATTCCCCAACCATGAATGGTCCTACTAGAAATCCCACTGCACAGTTCATAAAAAGCTACCTTATGCCAGCAGCCAGAGGTAGTTAGATGCTGGGTAATGGAGGCATGCAGAATCGGGCTCATATGTAGCAGCTAGTCTCCAAATTCAGTTTTGACCATAAATTACTTTAACATGGGAAAATAAAAATAATTTAAATTTTAAACTAGAAGTTTTGGATGAAGTAGTAGCAGGAAAAGGCAGCCCTGAGGCTGCACCTTAATGATCCCTAATTATGCCAAGTACAGTGCCATTCTTATAAGGTCTTGGCATATTTAGTAATATTTGTCACATACCATGGAGATTGTAGCTAGGATTTGGTATCTGGCTGTTTGGGCTCCAATTTTGACTTGCTTTATCATGGGTCCTGAGTCTGCAGTTGGATCCATAACTCGTGCTTGTATAGAAACTAATTCAAAACCTAGGGCTCCTTTCACATCTGAGAGGATGTTATGGCAAGGTTCAGAAATTTAAAAAGTAGCTGCTGTACAACTAATGGAGAAGATGCTCCAGATCCTGAATATCACTTTGCCACCATTTGCTCAAGAATTATTTTATAATTATGGAAACATGGTAATATTCTCACATCTGTTTAGACATTGCATAAGATGCTTCTGCGAGACAAGAAGCATGGCTTCTTTCTTTCTTTCCAGAAAGAGAGAATGTAAAAGTTTATCAAATGGGAAGGACAAAATGTGCAGCAAAAATCAATGTTGTATCAGATTTCAAGCTTAGTATTGCAATCATTTTCATATTAATATTGTAATATTAGCATTATGAGTTTAGTAACAAGAATGCTTTAAAATACTAACTGTGTTTTCAAGTATGAAGATGTGTTCAGGAAACACATAAAGCATGTTTCTGGCAATGAACACCGCCAGAGACTTCTACTTGGATTGCGCTAATTATTACGGAGAATTATTTCATGATCTTGTTCCAACCATAATGGAGTCATGCTTTCTTGAAGTTAAATGAAAATGAGCTGTAAATTCAAAAGTTTCAGAAGTTTGAGAGCCAGTAGCTTAGAGGGCATTAAGAAGTTCAAATATTTATGTAGTTAGGGTTGCATGTAAGATAATTTACAAATATTTAAGCAAAGGAAATGTCACTTCCAACTGGACCATTCTCGAGTGTGTTTACATAAAAATGAAACATGCCAGTGAGACGTAGTCTGTCTTCTTTGCTAAGAGTTTTTTGCCCTTTTCCTGTTGAACATTGATCCTTTTCAGACACATGGATTTCTGACTGACTTTTGACAAAGCTGCTTTTCTGCAAAATGGTTCAAAGTAGTTTATTCTGACTTTCAGTTAATGAGCCCTACTCTTGTGCTGGGGCAGCACACAAGACTTCAGTGATATAGACTGGCCTGTTGAATCATTAGAGTTATGGCTGTATGCATGGAAAATGTAATTTAGAGGCAAACCAGATTTTTTTTACTGTACCTGTTTGTTTACTACGAAGCCCAGAATCTATTAACAAAGAGATGCTTTTTGGCACTTAAAATGCTCTAAGCACGTGCTTAACTTTATGAATGGTTCTACTGAATTCAGTGGGGCTAAGCCACATGTTTGGAGCTGAGTATGTGCTTAAGCGCTTCTCTAAATCAGTGACAACTGTCATTTACTTTGATTTTACTGTTTTAGTTCCAGTTTTATCCATTATAGTAGTTCATGCTTTTGAACCCATTGGTGTCTCTATAACAATATATGTAAGCTCCTCATTGCACTTTCACAATCAAATGAACTCCACTTCCTGAAAATATTTAAACTCCAATATGTATAAGTGAGCATCCTGTTCATGGTGGCAGGGATGCTTTAATAAGCAAAGAAATGTTGGGACCATTAGGGAATGCAGTGCCATACCACAGAGCTAGTTAGTAGCTTCTCCATACAGGGCAAACCTGATGTATTCAAACCACTCTTCAAATCTCCTGGGGATTTGCAGTTATTTACATGAGGTTGTAAATGTTTAGGCTGCTAGATAAACAAGCAGAGGATTTTGCAGAGGCTCATACAAAAATGCCCTGAAATATGTGTACAGTTCTGAAACATAGTAGAGGCATGTTCTCCCATAGCTGGCGCTTCCATCAGCATCTGTAAATTCCCACCCGCAGGAGGAGGGGAAAATGCTTTCTTGCCTTGAAGTGTTTATGTAGGCAGCAACGTGAAGGGACGAATATAGCAGATGCTAGCACACCTGGGCTCCCGGGGGAGTTGGCACTCGGGTTCCTGATGTGTGCTAAAGACCGCACTGCCGTGCTTTCATCGTTATGGTTACCCCTGCTAGCTAGATCAAGCTAGCACGGGTCTGCTGGCACATCCTATGCTCGCCTTTCCTCTTGCTTTTCACAACGTTTTGCTGTCACTGCAGTTTCTGACGTGGTTCCCTCTTCTTCTTCTTTCTTGTCTTCCTCTTAAAGTCTTCCAGCTGTATTAGATGACCCCATGGCCTCTGTGTCTTGGAGAGAAAAGGCAATCCCGTGACCCCATGGACCTCCTGTTCTCCCTCTTCACACCAGGCCCCCATCCTGCCCCTTTGTCTGTTGCTGTCACTCGTCATGTAGAGCAGAGGCCGAACATGCAGCCCATGGACTGGATCCAGCCCATGGGTCTTGGACCAACCCTGTATACTGCAGGTGATGTGTGGAGCTGGTCTGGCACATGAGCTGAACCTGGTGCCATGTGCTATGCATGGCATGGGGTCGGTTCAGGGCACATGCTGCATGTGGCACCTGTGCCAACCAACCTTGTGTGCTGACTCCAGGGCTAGTCTGGATTGGACCATGCTGGAGCCAGCGCATGGGCAGCACAAGCCCTGGAGAGGGGCCAGCATGGGGGGTGTGCCCCAAGCAGTGCTGTGCCAGAACAGCCCTGTGCGCTGGCTGTGGCACAAGCCAATCCAGCCCAGAGTCCCTCAACTGGCCTGTGGGTCTGAATGAGTTCGACTCCCCTGACTCTATTTTAATCAGTTGAATTACACCAGTTTATATAAGCTTAAGCAGAGGTGTCAAACTGCCTGGGGCCCCAGGCCAGATCCAGATCACGGGACTCCTTGCAAGCTGGATCCAGCTTAGGACATCAGGACTGCTGCAGTGGTCACTGCAGCAGCAACAGCAGCAGCAGCAAGGGGTTTAGCCATGGTAGTGAGGGATCCAGGGGAGCAAGTACAAGAGCAGGAGCGTTGAGCTGGGCTCACCATTGATGGCGATGCCCATCAGGGCCAAAGGGCCCTGGGTTCTGCAGCAGGCAACACTCCACAACTTGTGGCGCTCACTGATAGCTCAGCAGGCTGGATAGAGAAGCTCCATGGGCCACACGTTCGATACTCTTGAGCTAAAGATCCAGCCCCTGATGCCTAAATTGAAGTGACATTGCTGCAATGAGCTTGTGTGTGGTTGGGTCCCAATCTGCTCTCGTAGCTCCTGTGGTACCAAGGGGCGTTCCATGTGCACAGGTGGAATAATACTGCCTTGCACTTACATGAGATGTTTTATTCGTAGATCTCCAACCATGCTATATAGAAAGGGAGGTATTATTACCTTTGTTTTGCAGGTAGGATGACTTAAGGGAAAAGAAGAATAAATTACAGGCCTCAAGAGTTTGAAATCCTGTCCCCATGGAAGTTGCTGACAAACTCTTCATTGACTGCACTGAAACTAGGATTTCACTTAGCAGTTAAGAGTAAAATACAAGTAGCCTGACTCAGTCTGCTAGACTAGGGTACTCAACCTTTTTTTGCCTGGTCGGTTGGCTAGGCAATTCCCGGTCCAGCCGTGGGCTGGATCCAGCTGGTGGCCCTGATCTGGTGCCCAGGGCAGATGTAGTGGGAACCCATCCAACTACATGGAGGGGGACAGGAGCAGCCTGGACCCAATTCAGCCGTGCAAGGGGAGGGGGTGTGACCCAGCTCCAGTCTGGCTTTTCAGGGAGAGGGGGAATGGGAATTTGGCAGCAGAAGAGGGTGGCTGTACTAATGGCCACTTCTCCACCATCACCACATTTCCCAGCCCATAAGGAGCCCCACAGGCCAGATGCCATGCCTCCGTAGGCTGCATTTGGCTCGTGGGCCAGAGGTTGGGCCACCCCTGTGCTAGATCATGGGTTGGCAATCTACGGCCGAAGGGCCAGATTTGGCTTGTGGAGGCATTGGATCTGGCCTGTGGATCCAGGAGGGCTTTAGTGCTAGGGGCCTTTGCCTGTGCTGTGGCCAAGTGGTGGGCAGCTTCGCTGGTGCTGTGCTGGGGAGAAACAGAGGCAGCAGGTAGGTCTCAGCCACAGGCCACCTCAGACCCAAGCCGTGCCTTTCTGATCTGCTGCCAGGAAGCGTTAACAACTGCTGCAGTAGACGACAGCTTCCTCTCCAAAGAATAGCTGCTTCTGACTAGAGATATAGGCGGAAATTTCCAAAGGAGCTACTAGAAATTGGGCATCTAAACCCCCTAGGTAGTTTTGAAAACTTCAGCAGTAATATTGACCACCAGTCTGTTGTGTTGCCAGATTAGCTGCACCTTAAATGTATATATTTCAGAAAGAGCCATCATATACTTGGCCGGAGTGAAAAATAAGCAGGTGTTGTCATTACCCTGCTTTGCCATTATTCTCAGTTCAGAGTCTATTAACAGAACGTCCCACAAATGAGTCAGAATGAATCATTAAGGATTCCTGATCAAAATGATGTCATTCCCCTCTCACTGAATTTGCAGCTGGTGTTTGGGACTTAACATTTTGGTTGAATAAGCACTGTTTTCTGTTCATTTGCTACACAGTGCACTACCTGTTCTGTTCCCGGGGGCATCGAGTTGAATACCCACCATAACCTCTGCTCAAAGGTTTTGAAGTTAGCCAGATAAACCCCAGGTGACAAATCAGAAATGATAAATGAAAAATCAGAGTGGGTGCGTTAAGGTTTGCTGTCATTCATTGTTTTCCAGTGCCAGAGCTGATCAGCAGAGTGGCAGGTCAAATGGGTTGAGCAGTCTTCCTTAACAGATGTGGACAGAAAGCCTTCCATTGCCCCTAGTAACTCTTTCTTTCAAAACTGTGGGTGTCCCTTGAACATCGTAGTATACTGACATGCATTTGATGTTTCTCTATGTGTAATGATACTGGTTTTGCCTGTACTGCTTAGAACATGATACTTCAACAGGAAATGGTCTGTATGGTGTATTTTTTTGAACGTTAGCTATCAAAATATTAAGTTATTTCCCCAAGGACAGTACTGTAATTGGTTAAAAAAAAAAAATATATATATATAGATATATATATAGATATATATATATATATATATCTATCACAGGTAAAAACAAAGCAGCGTGCACACGCGCATATATGTTATATCTTGAAAGATGCATAGTCTAATCATGGAGCTTACTTTCTGAAGAGATTTTGAGCATGAGACTCCTAAAATACAGTTGTCTTAGTGGCATTTCCATTGCAAAATTGTTGGCACTCAATTTCCCACCAAATGGTTGAATTTTTCTATTATGGGAGAGGGACAGCTCTAAATGTGATGCAGCTCTTTTTGTTGGTGGTGTGTGATCCCCCACCCTGGATCTCTGCCTCATTCATTGCAGAAGAAGGACACTGCTTGTATAGATAGGGATTAATTCAGTCTTTCTATTTTCCTTATTATGTAGTGTGTTTACCCAGCACCATCCAAAGCTTCACTGACTAGAAAATTATGAATTTCTTCAAGGGTTAGTCTGTGGCCCACAGTATCTGAATGTCTCCCAGATCTTTATGAATTGATCTTGACAAGCACCATTTGAGGAAGGGGGGCATTATGATAGTTTTTTTAATTAATGGGTAAGCTTAGGAAGCTAGAGCTGAAGGCTAACATTGCTTACACCAACACTGAGTGCCTGAATTGAAATGTATGATTTTTTTCAGGGTCCTTATTATCCACTTTGAGCCAGACTCCATACCAGCTATTAGTCATCTAAGTGGACATAACCACATAAGGGCAGTTCCTTTCCATCCTGTTCAAGTTCTGGAAATCCATCAAGGCATCTAGTTTTCTAACACACCATCATCTCACCTTTAAGTCACCAAAAACAGCAAGGAGGGGGTAATGCACCTACATTTTGTACTAAATGCTTTTCAGGGACTTGAGCAGGTGGAATGGAATTGCACTCAGGCACCTAAGTCCCTTCACACTTAATAGGTGAAGTTGAATCTGGTCCTACGTGTTTAAAGCACAGTTCCCACCAACTTCAGTTGTGGCTATTGAGCACTTCTCCAGGTCTGTCCCCAGACTCTCAAGCTTTATGCCCCAAAACTGAGGAATACCCAATTAGTAATCAGCTGTTAAAACTTTATTTTGACTGAGCAGTGCAGCATCACAAAGAACTCTGTGGCAGAGGGAAGGGTAAATTCACATTTCTGTGGGGGGGGTTCAATTTTTCTGGATGGGATCTTGTCCAGGAAAAAAAATCATATAACAACCTTGCATGTCATCATGTAATTGTTACAAGGGGCTGATTTAAGGCTAACAACACCTCTGACAGTTCCTAATTTTTGAATGTGTGGCGTTCATTTTTAAACATAAGGTTTCTTTTGGCTTAGTTTAGTCGGGGGGGGGGGTTGTACTTGGTTGATATATTCCATTTGGTTGTCTTTCTGTTTGTTTGTTCATCTTACTGACTTTCAATATTTGACAGGTAATACTGTCCTCTAATTTCTCCTGGGTGACTTTGATTATCAGAGCTATATACTTACCAGGAGAATCCTTTGTTTTTTCATGTCCTTGTGACAAGGTATTTAGCAGAATTTGCAGATTTGCTGGGATCCGATGGGCTGTGCCGTAAGCACTTCTACTATGGCCTCAAACTTCAACCTCTGGGCTGTCAACTGTGCAGCTTGGCACCCGCACCACCCTAGTTGCCACCGGGAGAACAATATAACCATTCACAAAATATTCCTGAATTCATGTGAAGACTGTTAAGAGTTACCTAAAACAAATTGTGACAACTCTGCTTTCTTGGCTGTGAATAAAGACTCACTTTGTACCTAAATAGGAATCAAATTCAGGTGTCCAGAAGTGAACTCACTGCATGTGTAACTATTGCACAATCCAGTTTTCTTCCATAATGCACTAATGAGCATGCCATTACAAATGTTAGTATCACTGGTTTGAAGCTGGTTCACCTATTTCATAGGCGATGGGAAGGTGGAGACCCAGGTGTATCCAATCAGAAGACTCCAACTACTATCCTCTTAACACCTGAAAGAAAGTTTCATAGCTTTGGTTATGCAGCACGAGATTTCTACCATGACTTGGATCCCAATGAATCAAAGCATTGGTTGTACTTTGAAAAGTTTAAGATGAAGCTACATACCACTGGTGTAAGTAACAACTGGACTCTGCCTGGTAGTTTTCTTTTTATGCTTAAAACCATCTTTCTGTGGGCCTTTAAAGGTTTTATTAAAATGTGTGACAGCACAAGTATTTGCAGTTGTAAAATAAATAAGCAACTTGTAAGTGATGTGCAACTTGTAACTTAATTTCTTCTGCTTTTTTTTGCCCACCCTTGCCAACAAGAAACATTCTTCTGTATTTTGATGAATGTTGCTCTAGACAGGTTTGCTTCATTTGTCTTTCCTGAAGTATCTTGTCTGGTCTATTTACATTAGATTAAATTCACCCCATGCAGGGCCTATTTGCCACCTGAACCTAAGAGCTACATAAACCTAATGCTGACCTCTTCATGGGAATGTATTCTCTCTTAATGTTTTGGGATATGTTATAAAAGAAAATCACATTACTGTTTATCTTTAACTTAATCATTCTAGATTTCTTGGGGCTTAGTTGGTACTTTTTGTACTGAGGTATTTTACAGCTTTATAATTTGATACAAAGCCAAAATATATATTTTTCACTTCTGAGCTAAATATAAAGCACGGATTTTTTGTATGTACAGTTTCTTGGCACAGTCAATTGCAGGTCCTGGTTATGCATATTGGATACTTAAACATCCACATGGCAGCTCTTTGTTACCATGACTGATAGGTGCAAAGATTATACTTTTAGTAAACAGCAAAATGTCTTAAGTGGGAAATCTCAGTGATTGGATAGACTCTTTCCAAAACTGTATGTGTCAGGTTTAAGCTGGTGAGTCTCAGTAAGGAAGAATTTCTTTCTCTTGAGCGACAGGAAATTAACATTTACCTCTTCCTTTTAATAACTTTTCATTATTTTCTTCCATGTAGAATCTCACCATGGAAACAGACCTGACAGCTGCAAATGGCAAAAAAGTCAAGGCACTTGAAATATTTGCTTACGCCCTGCAGTTCTTTAAGGAACAGGCATTGAAGGTAAAGAAAACACTGCCTTATCCAGCTTTCTATATTTATACCTAGTGCAAAGGCAGACCACGTAGTTTTAACCTTGCCAAGCTTCTGCCCCATTTGATATTTGATGTTGACAAAGAAAGACAGGTCTAGAAACTCCAGGAAGGCTGTGGCTGGGTCCAGGGTAGCCTTAAGTGATTTTCTTTCTTACACTGGGTGCAAGCTGATGTATTAGCGGATATATTACTGGGAAACTGTATCTGAATGTTCTTACTCTTCAGCCCATCTCTTCTTGGTCAATCTCCTTCCATTTGGAGTTTGCTTAAGTAAAGAATGGTTGAAAATGTAACAACCAAAACTCAGTATTTGGCTATTTCTTTGTGAAGCAATCCAGGAGTAATATCTGAGCGATTCTTCTAGCCATCATCCCTATGATTATGCTGCTGCTGGGGCGTTGTATGTTCTGTGCCCATTTAAAGGTTTTCCTGTGTTAAGGGGGTGGTAGTCTAACCTTTGAGGGCCAACTCTTGGTCATCTCTGCTCATGCAGAGCTTCCACTGATTGCAGTTAGTAAGCGGAAGGGAGTCCAGTGAGCCACGTTTGTTCCTTAGTTATAAAATTTCAAAGCTGGTCCTGAGTGAAATAATATAGGGGGATGTTAAACGTACAGCTAATTAACCCCTGAATAAATTAGCTTGGGAACTGGAAACAGTGTATGTGCTTTAGCACTGCTCTGCACTGAGCCTAATTTGCTTGAGTTCAAATGGAGAGTTATGCTAATGATCTATATTGCTTCCAGGGCCAAGCTAACTCTAAAACAACCTCTGTTCAGTCCTGCATTGTGTCTTGTAGACAGCCCATTAGATTCACACAGCTAAACGTCTGTGCAGATAACACACAAGGAACATTTAGGGCCTATTAGGGATGGCTTGGTCATATATTGGCTTTTCACAGGAACAAACTTCACCCTGTTGTGAGCAGGAAGCGGATGTTATTGTTGCCCTTAAGCTTAATGTTTGTTTATAAAAATCTAACAAGCATTGGGGAAGATATCCACTAACTGCAACCTCTGTTGGGGGTTGTATTCATACAATACTGTCTTTCATCTATTGCCCTACTGCCACATCAAATATAAGCTCTCCCAGGTTTTCTCTTCACTTTTTTAATAATGTGGTTGATGAAAGGAAAGAGAGGAAAGCTGCATGATTTCTTTGCACTAAAGAAAATAAAATTCCTAATCTGAGCATTGGAAGTTAAAGAAAATAGAATTGTGTGGGCCCCTTAACACATTCCTAAGCCTGCAACATTTCATGCTTCGTGTAGGCTAGGAACAGGTAGTCAAAAAGCTTGAGGCTGAATCAACTCAGTCTTTGCAGGTTAGTCTAAACTGCAGAGATTAAATTGAAACAGAAGTGAATAGACATTTGCCTTTGATTCAGGAAATGCAGCTACATGCATGCAGTGGCTCAGCCCAGGAGCTGGGGGTGCTAGAGCACAGCTCTCTGGCTGCGTGTTCACTTCCTCTTCCTACTGCCTCCGCAGTCTCTAGGATTTGCAGTCCAGAATTACAGCAGCAGGACTCTGCAACTTGTAAGTGATACATCTAGATTTGTAGTCCACAGTTGCAGTCAGCAGTAAGTTTGAGTCAAGAAAAGGGTGTTTAACCCCCCTCCCTGTCCCCAACCAGAGTTTGCCTATGGGGAGGCAGTCCCCCTGTAAACTGGGCTGCATTCCCAGCTAGGCTTGCCCCCCCGCCCCCATCAACCAGCCCTCACTGCTCCAGCTAGGGATCGGAGGGGTGGGGCCAGCCCTGCTCTCTGGAGCAGACATCACAGCGGATGCTGGGGGACTGTGATTTAACTTGAACCAGGAAGGGGTCTGGGACAGATGTTTCATAAACCTGTATGACCCAAATCAGTTAAGTCTGATACTACATTCAGCCAGGTTTATCTTAAACCAGTTGTAGCCATTTTGAAACTGGTTTATGTGCACTGAACTTCCGTTACAGGTTTAAACCAGTTTCTGATCACTTAAACTGGTTTATGTTTAATGTCTGTCCCAACTGTAAGGTGCATCCTAGGCCACAGGCAGGAACAGCATAGCATTTGCCAGAGTTAAATCAAAAAGCATGAGGTTGTATTGATTCAGTCTTTTTGCAAGTTAGTCTAAAATGCAGAGATTAAGCTGAGAAACAACTGAACAGACATTCACTTGATTCAGGAAATGCAGCCACCTGCCTACTGTGGCTCAGGCCAGAAGCCAGGGGGCGCTAGAGCATAGCGCTCTGGCTCACAGCCAGCATGGGCTGTGTGTTCACTTTCTCTTCCTGCCATCCCCGAGGTCTCTGGGATTTGCAGTCCAGAGTGACAGCAGCAGAACTCTGCAGGGTTTCTCATCATTTCCTGTTCCTGTTCCCAGGTGCCTCTTGGATTTGTAGACCAGTCGCAGCCAGCAGTAAGTTTTTAGCATGGCTGGGCAGGTCTGTACTTAGGGGAAGAGAAGTTTAACCCCTCTTCATGGCCCCAGATCCCAGCTGGGGTTTGCCTGGGGGGGGGTGGGGGGCAATCCCTGCTTCCCGCCCCCCCCCCCAACCC